AAAAAAAAAGCCCACCTCCGTCATCGAATTGAATTGTAGTTTCTGTAGATTGCATGATTTTCCCAGCTGGAAAAACCAAGTTATTTGGACCTATATGAAAGTCAAAAAACCGTTGCGAATTTCGAATTGGTAAGAAAAAGAAAAATACTGGGCACATAGATAAATGTGTCCCAAAAAAGGCACCCACCAACCGTGATATTGACGTTTTGACCAAGTAATGTTGTACCTCCCTGAAAAGCTTTCTCGTTGGTCAAATCAGTCAAAAACTTTCCTGTAATATGTACAGAGACTGGTCAGATACGGCATTGTCGTAGTTTTTTGAACTACAACAAAAAAAAGTTCCAGCCAAATAGCAATATCATGGAAAGGAACCCAACCACCCTTACCGCAAGGATAGAACGAAAGACGTAGTTGGTATTTTCTGTTTAAAGCATCGATGGAGATCACCTCTCCGTAGATTGCAATGTAGTCATGGGTGATACAATAAATTACTCCATCGTCCAGATTCAGACCAGCAGTGAGGTTGTTCAGGACTTGGGTTGCAGGATTGTAGGTAAAGTTTGAAGCCGCGAAAGAGTTGGTTTCTTTGTTGCTTTTGCTTTTGCCCTTTTGACATTGTTGTTTTATGTTGGTGGGTGTTTTTAGACGCTCAGAGTTTCACCTTTTAAAAATGAACAAGAAGAATCGAGTTGATCTCAAGTGCTTACCTCCCACAAATTGAAGAGTCCCGATAACACAACGCCAACCAAAATGATGAAGGCTGATACTGAGAATATAATGATTGTGGTCAACTTTCGTCGACTCATGGGTTTTCGTTCGGCCATTTCTGACTTAGGATCAATTGGATGGGGTGTTGGCGATTGAACGGGTAACTATAGAGTTTTTAGTTGATGTGGGATGATGGTCGAGACTCCCAAAAACTCCTTGTCGAGAGCGGGTCGAAACTTTTTTTTTCCCTTTTTCCATGCATGATTTTCATTAGTTGCATCGGGCTAGATAAGGGAAAACTTCTAGAAGATGATAAATAATCAATCCCGCTTTCTATTTTTGCATCGAGAAACCACCGCGAGCCAAGATCGTGTGATTGGCAAACCCAACATTGTCTTGGGATGCCTTGTCAATGCGACTTGTCAACGCATCGATGTGTTTGATATGAGATTTGAAAAACCCAAAGCGGTCAACTCAGGGGGGCAACATCTCGTATCAACAAGGCAGGTAACGAGAGCGGGCTCGCCTTTTGTATCAAACCTTGGTCGCCACACGTAACTTTCTTACCCCACCCTGGACAAAGCGAAAACAATGCAAGCCCGCCTGCAGCGAAATTGGAAAAACAAAGTCAAAATAAACAAAGACTTTGATGATAGTTTTTCTCTCCACTCACAACCTGCAAGACACAATGTCGAAAGAGAAGAGAATGCGGACTGTTGGCATATTCTTTGCAATGATAACCCTTCTGGGAATCATCGTTTCCATCACTGGAGTGTTTCAAAAGAAGGAGGTATTTGATTATTTGTCCCACTATATTTTTGTGGTGGTTCTGAATATTCATAAATAAACAACAACCAAAACACATAGGGCGACAGTAAAGATAGCAAAACTTCTCAAACCACCAATAGCTTTCCGGCAGCAACCCAACCAAAAATTGATGACCCATCTTATGACCCATATACTGGGATTAGCATCTACGCATCTCCCTCGTCCGTTGACCCAATTTCGAAAACGTTCAAGCTGTCTCTTGGGTTCCTCCCTGCTGGTAATTCTTAACATTGATAACCTTGTACTTTGAAGAAGCTGACGCATGTTTATCTTTAAATTAGGCGATATGGTTGGACGCGCATTACATTATAACGTTGGACTTTTCACTCTCAAATATCCCGTTACCATTGCCTTTCAAACCAAGGCTCTGTCATTCCCTGCCGGCGTTATTATGCAACCACAGGAAATATCATTAAACTTGGTAACAGGAGGTCGGTATTCTTTAAATCAAAAAATATTTTCAGTGTGCCAAGATTAACTTCGTGTTATTGCAATTGCAGACCCAAACTCATATCCTTTTGAGAGTTATCGAAGTGATTTGATTGAGATTACAGCAACATACCAAAACACAACTTCCGGGAAACTGGAAACTGCACCAATTGATATTATCGTTTCTGGAGGTCTTCAAACGTGAGAAATACGCTTGTCAGATGTAAATATTTTGACACCATTTACTAAAGGCGACGTTTATCTTATACACAGATGGAACATTGACACCCCTATTGTTCAAGACTTGTATCAAGACGGCAGTGTTCTTGAATTGCAACTTCAGTATAGTCGTTCCGCGACAACAAAGGTTAGTTTACATTTTTCGTCCTGTCTTACCGGAATTCTAAAACACGCTATTGTTGACAGTTCTTTTCAGTTTTGGTTATGGTGATTATGTGGGCACTCTCGTTACTTTCCTTCACATTATCAACCACCCTTTGGTTACGCGATCGAAAAGTTGAGCCCCCTACCGTTGCTGTTGGTGTAGCCCTCCTGTATGTTATATTTTCTTTCTCTTCGTTAAAATTTTGTCTTTCATTTCC